TATATGTGGATCAATATCATCTAATCTCAAAAATAATAAACTTTTGCAAAATTTTCCAGAACACTAGACAGAGTTTGCTTTTTCTCGTCACGTGTTATTTCGGTGTCGAGATAAGTTAAAACATATACCGCTACTTCAACCACACTAGAAGAGACTAGTCAATACTCCCGATCGTAGTCTAAATGTCGCGAGTAGTGGTGCGAGCTCTTCTCGATGACTAACTGGTTAGCGGTTCGAATCTCGGCGAGTATCACTGAAGTATCACTGACTAATGACGAAATGGCTACTTAAACTCGTCAGCGTTTGAGAAAATTAGGAAAATTTACTAACATAGAACGAGGCTCTGATGAACACTTGAAAGCGTTCGTGTTTTCACACTTGGTGCTAAACGGCAGTAAAAAAATAGCTTTTTCTGTTGTTTCGTCTATTTTCCAATTTAATACGTCCATTTCCTGTCTGCCCTCTTACTCAGTTTAACCTTAAAATACCGTTGGTGTTGCCCGAAAAATTATCCTCCCGTTTAAGCTTTAAGGTTTCAAAGCTAGGCTTAGAAGTTATCGATAAACTTTCACTATGACAAAGTGAAGTGAGTATGAAAATTCGCTAAATGCGACGAAATTCTACTAAATTATTATTTAATATCCACATGAAAGTCACCACAACGCTTAAATCATGAGCATTTGTGAATCTTTTTGGTAGCGAAAATTGAATTCTTCGAGATAGAATCCATCCATTGGTATGAAAAGTGCATTATTCAGTCGTGCAACATGTTTTGCTGGCGTTTCTCGACATACCCAATCAAATTAAACATGAAGGCAAAGGAGAGGCATTTCATGCTGTCCTATTGCTTACCCGAAAGCGACGTAACGAAAGTCCATCCAGCGGGCTGGTTTGAAGGTGATGAAGAACTGGGAGGCATTCGTGTGTCTTCCCTTGTTAGCCATGCTAATAATTCCCCGTTTGTCATGCTTGACACTGAAGTTTTCATCTAATACGAAAACAAACAGTATTGATTTTTGCGTTCGCAAGATAGTATACAGTTTATGAATGAACGGTGTTTTAACTATATTCGAACATTGTGTAAGGAAGACGTTGGTCCACAATTCAACCACCTTTGCTCCATAAACTTTTAAAGTTTTTCTGGCCACAATTCCGAACTAACTTTATTTTAAGAAACTTCACAAATAATGTTATTGTCAATAAAACTGCGGATATAAATGAAATTCCGTGAATTATGGAACAGGAAACTATACATATGTGTGCGCAGAGGACAATTGTGCATAAATTATTCAGCTAATGTAGATTTGTCCTTTT